ACACTGTATATATATACATATACATAGCTAACACTATATCGCCATTTCGTGTGTGTGTTAGCTGGAAGCTAATGTGATTTTGTTTTAAATTTCTAAAAACAAAACAGACTACAATATTTTAGCAAATGTTTATCAAATACTATCTAATGTTACAATTAATCAGGGTTCTTAAATTTCCATACATTTTACCCCAGAGGTTTTTCTGGTGTTTCAGTTGAATTTTACAGATTAGAGGTCACATTATGCGGTGGAAAAGGTTTTAAAATTTGGTTTAATCTCATCTTCCAACATTATAAAAACCTGGCATTTTATCACTATTTTATATTCACTATACATTCACGGCTCTCTAAGAGGTTAAATGTCATAAAATTAGTCTAAAGCAACTTTGCTCAAGAAAACTTCAGCAAAAAGACTCACCATGTTCGTTCTGCTCTCTCCTATCGCTGCTCTCTAACTGAAGGCGTGAAGCTAACGATCTGGTTGGAGCTGGAAGAAAAACAGAAATGTGAAAATTATGCTTGTGAGTAAATCTTTTGACTGTTTGTCATTTAAGCTAACTGGTGTTTAATACATACGTGTTGCTCTGGAGGCAGGGAGCTCTGTGGCGGTGTACGTCTGCACCCGGGGGGCCAGGCTGTGCAGGTGCTCCTGAACCAGCTGGATGGCTGCAGTCATCTCTTCACTGCTGGCCAAGCGAGTGCGAGGTGCAACGGGAACAGTCTGTCTCTGAGGCACTGCGGGGAAATATAAGTATTAGAAAAAAAAACTGTGATTGAACTCTACTGGATAAGACACTTGTCAAATAAGTTCTAAAAATATTGAAAAACACAGATCCAGGTCAACCTTCGACTTGCTTTGCAAGACAGCCCTATCAGAGGATGCTCCTGGTTAAATGTTCAGCTGTAGGAAACATACATGATGTGTAGGCTGTAGTTTTGGTGATTGAGTCCTGAGCCTCAGATATGGCCTTCAGGATCAGGTTTCTGTTGGCTTGCTTGGATGGTGGGAGAGTAGGTCTGAAATGAGCCAAACCAGACAGACACATGATTAAAGGGATCCCTGATTAGTTGTGACTTTATCTGATAAACATTTATTTTACTGTAAAATAAAGACAGCAAAAATACTGTAGGCTGTTTAGTTTTGTAAATTTTTTAAAATATGTTTTAACACGGACAGAGCCATTTTATTTACACGCAAAGCATTCTGGGTAAATGATGACGTGGATAGGTCCTCGGTGTGAGCGAGCTATATCCACCCTGAAGGTTAATCTTGGACAATATCTGA